TATATACTCTAGTCATTTATATGCTCATAGTCATACAGATTGACGTTGTACATGAGGAAAGTTATTAGTGACGGTAAACCGGCGTCCCGTATACACGTTTGCTTACATGTAAAGGAACCCTGACAGTTGGAATTCCACGACGAGTATAGGCGGCAATGCCGCTGTTCGGACAAATTTTCCTTCATAGATAGCACATAGTTTGCCCATCGCTGTCACTTCAATATCCGAGACTAAATACAACTAACCTTGTTAATTCCGGTATTTAGTGTCCTGGTTTCGGAACCCTACATCCATGCAGATGCTGCGTATATCGTGCGTATTATCTTTCTCATCTTAATGAATCCGAAGAAAATACAATATCAATGTGATAAAAACAGGCAATCAATGCTATCATGTATTGGAAATATTAATAGAAAAGGCCATCTAAATCAATAACGGTCATTATTTCAGATTCGTACCACGCAATCACCCGGTCTCAATATAAAGCTCTATATATCAATGTAAAAGGAGGCACCTTTTATCAAAATTTACAGTGTATATTGGTTCAACCAATATGTTAACCAGTTATAAAGTATAAACAATTCGGTTCTAAAACCAATGAAATCAAACTAGACAAATCAAGAATAGTAAAGAATTATAGTATCGCTTCAGAGCGGCCGATTTTGTAGCTCATTTTAGCTCAAGGGAAACATAATGAAATTTATATGTACACCCGGGTTTTGTTTTTGTTAATTACATCTTGCTGTAAGTGATATAGAACTGCAATTTATTTAAACTCCATTTTATTTCTGTAATGGCCAGCTGATCGATTTGGTCAACCGTTGACAGATATTTCTACAGTTTAATTTTGTTATTATAATTTTGTATATAAAAATACAGTAATTATACTAATGATAATGTCAATATTTGACTAGTAATTAATACAATACATAATTGTGTAGCCAGGCATGTGTTTAAAATGTTTAGTATTTAATATCCATTAGACCTGCAGTGCAGCACCCGTGCCAAAGAAGCGTAATAAAAACAGATAAATGCTGTAGAGACATCAGCGTTAATGGTAAAGCCCTTAACAACAAAATAAATAAATAAGTGCCAAAATTAACCCCTTGTCAAGACATTATCTTCACAGAGGTTCATATGTATCTCAAGAATCCAAAGTGAAGGATTTTGATCATCGTTTTCTTTCAAATTATTCATATCTATGACAAATTTCGTCGCTCGACTGTACAGTAATATTATTTTTCCTTCCTCTTCAAGCCTACATTATCTTTATATGAGGGTGGTAATCAGGGGTAATGGAGATTGATTTCAGAGTCAACATTTTATAATTAATCTGAACGTTTCAAGCATAAACAGTAACTTTGCACAAATGACACCAGTGTCGTCACGTCTGTGGTCTATGTGATTTTCAACACCGTTGGGATCGCCCGCAGAAAACGTAAAAAAAAAAAAAAAAATACCTACACATTTCATTATATAAAAAAAATTTCCATGGCAATGGCTCTTGAAATGTTTTGTAAAACACCATGTGGAACTGAAAAAAGCAAAATGGCGGCACTGAAATTTGTAAACCTTTTCAACGAATTAAGTTTTTCACGTGTAGTATAAGGATGGAAAAAAAGACAATTCAAAGGATAATAATTCACAACTTAATGCTAGTAACCCCACACTTAAATACATATAATTGCATTTAATAACTGTTTTATGTGGGGGTTTTGTTTGTCATTCTAGGACAAAAAACACGATAACATGCGATATCACGTATGCTTAATTAAAACCGATGTTTAACATGTTGAATGCACAAAGTAAATGATCAGGGGAAAATAAAGACGACACCCGAAGCCTTTCCTATTTAAGTAGAAACACATCTCTTTTAAACACAGTTCGTAACCTGATAAATGATTAAAGGGTGCAAGTCTTTAACTCAATATCATCCACAGTCTTCGACATAGCAAACACGGCTTTTTGTTCAATTTAATCAACATTGATGCTGTTATCTTACCGTGAAAAGATGGACTTCTGATATCCAATATTCAAGGCACAATGGAGATTTTAAAATTGGCACACGAGTCGCGTGCCAGAATGCTTTCGAGTGCCATTTGTAATGAAGCGACTCGATGAACGAGACTAAACGAAGGAATACTACCTACCGGTGTAGACTGGAATAACTAGACTCTAAAGACTGCTATTCAATTTGGAATCTTTGAGTATTTCGCCGAACAGAACTGATTAGAAATTACAGTAAAAATAGAAACGATTGAAGGTAAACCAGTTTACATACATTCATACTACATTATTACATGCGTTGCGACCCATTTGTGTCCATTTCTAGGTGCCAAAGAAAAGAGATTTAGCTCCTTTAATATATTATCGATTGCTGACCCAGCAAATGTTGAACATTTGAAATATGTAAACAATATGAATGTTGCCTAAGAAAAATATATAACTTTGATGGTGGTAATCCTATACACGATAATGAATTGGAGTTTAACGTCCCACTTATCTGCTCCATCCGTATTAATGCAGACGGTCATAGTGCACTGAGAGACAGAGGCGCAACGGCTTCCTATATTGAATTCCAACTGCCACGGGTTTATTTTATGTATAGGGGACCTCGTTTTCCATCCCCTCGCAACAAGACGTCGTTGCCAGAGCCTCCGTACGGTATCACTGACAGTGGGAAACCACACCGGAGAATCCAAAGAAACTTTCTCGGCCAACACCAGTGTCGAACCCGGGACCTCAAGTATGTGCTTTACTAACTGAGCCACCGCGTCTGTCAATCCTTACTACAACCCTTTAATAGAAAAATGTTTAAGAATTCGCTAGTAAAAAACACCACATTTCTCGAGGTAACTTTAGGGAAGTTATTTCTTAACAATTCACAAACGTTGTAGTACACCTTGCTAAGCAACAAATGGACGAACGTCGGTGTTACGAGCATAGTGTAAATAATGGAAATAGACTCTGTCTTTGACAGTTTGGGTCTATATTTTTATATTTCATTGTCATTATAAATATCATATATTTTAGATATGATTGAGAGAGAGAGAGAGAGTGAGAGAGAGAGATGGGTTTATGATTAAAGGTGAAATATATGATTTAATTATTCTCGAGAGAACACCGCCTTTAATACTCTTTGAATATTTAATTTATAAGAGCCATTGAGTTAATGAATATTAGATGTATTTTAAGATACACAAGAAAGATCGTTCGGTTGTCCTTCTGCGCAGCAGTGAGCTCGGGTCTTTATCGTAACCAAAATCTGAACATTATCCGTCTGCCAAAATGTGAATATTCGTAATCTCCTCAGTCTGTGATTCCTTATCTTTAAATGCCTATTCGGTTTTAAACACACGGATATCTGGTGTTCGATTATGATATAAACAAAACAAAACATTAATAACACGCGATCAACTAACGACCAGAGGGCGAATTTTCCGCCCTAGAGTTGAATCATCGAAATTGTCTCCAAAATATATAACAAATCTAATAAATATTGGACACCAATTCTATTTTTTATCAGCAAAATACCGTGAGCTTTTTATTTTTTTCTAAACTGTACCTTCTTACACCTTACTGTGATTACATTTTTGTACTGATGTGACTAATAATATGAATACTAAACACAACACATGAATAATATATGAAACCTTTTAAAATAATTAAAACCAAAATCACTATTAATAAAATTTACTTTTTTTCAGCAATGTTCATTTTTTTCTAATTGTCTATACATTTTCATTATTAATATTTTTAATCAGTTTAATTGTGTACCACGATAATTTGAATCAATATACATGTAGTTATATGTCTAAAAGCATTAAAGAAATAGATGACTTTAAGGTAAATCCTTTAAAAACGACGAGAAGAAGAAAGAGGGTTGATAAATAATTACGATGTTTGAAGCCGATCTCTGCTTATTGACTTATTGTCAGCATTACTCGATAGCCACGTTGTACGAGCGGCGACCTTACACATCTTCGCTCTTGTCAACATCGATTCTAAACGTTGACTCGTCTTGAACTGCCACGAGAATCATTTGTCGTGATGTGATTTTGTATATCGTAGGAATCAGTCGAGTCAATGAGTAGTAGTAATATGCCATGATTCTGATAACAATTATATAGTGTTAGTGGTTGCTCAGAACACTTAAGAATCTGAATATCTTGGTGTGTTTTTTTCTGGCTGAACTTTGGACACACTTGGGAGTACGTTTATTGATTGATTTACTTTAGCGTGTTAAAACTTTTTTTATACATTTTTTTTTTCAAAGATCTGTGGCGATAGGTCTTTGATTTCATTTTTAAATAGATTGATGATGCACTACTAGTCTGGTTGTCTGTAGGAGGAATTGTAAATTAACTTCATTGATTTTCATTTCTAAATGTGCTAAAATTTTATCTTTTCAGATCAGTTCAATAAACATTTTTAAGGTATGGATTTTTGTGTGACCTGATTCGCAAGACTTGTTTCCGTTAGTAGTTGTGATATCCGAGTTATCTAGAAAAAAGATTTGGACTAGAGTCGTTACAGCGTCTATCAATTGAAAGGAATAATAATAAGAGTTTTGTGTATGCTGATATTAACTTGTGTAATGTTGTTTTCAGTTTCACATATAAGCCGATTGGGACTTTACTAAGCTGGCGTTCTATCATTTCAACCGCAGACTGGGAAGGTGATCAATCCCGGAAAGGCTACAACAAGTGTGGGCTGATATTATCGGTCTTATGGACAACATTTCATTTCTTTCAACCACTCTAAAAGCTTTCTAAGTATGGAGATATTGTTGACCGGGTTCCAGAATATTTTAAGGAATGCACTGGTAGTGTGAAACAGTCGACAATGAAATTGATTTTGCCATTCAGCGAGACAAAATAGAGCTGCATGGTTTTAGTTGAAATTTATGCCATTAAAAAGTTTGGATATGAAATAATCACTGTTTCTGTGTTAACATGACTGATATAGTACACTATTAATAATATCAAAACGTTTATCAAGAAATTTTAAGTGCATGATTTTGTTATAATATAGATCAAACTGGTGGTAAATCGACCGTTCATGAACTTACTTGTTTTTTTTATATTTACCATTTCTGAACCTTAAGACAGCACCGCGATTATTAGGATTAAGTTCCACCCGATTGATTGGGTTTACAGATTTATGTATGTAATAAAGCAGTTTGGGCTCTTTCTGATATTGGGAGTTTCATTATCGCTTATGTTAACGATCTGATCTAAAATACGAAAATTTCCACCAACCTCTACATAACTAAGGAGTCTGGATCTGAAGAAGCGCCCTCTGTTTAATTGAATTCTAGGATATATGTATGCGTTGATCTATCAATGGACATCGAGACAGAATCATGTGGTTGCAAAATAATATTTTGTGGATTTATTGTCCTTTATATTGGTTTATAGCAAAGGGTAAGTATATGTACTTATAATCTATTGTCTGCTATGTTTATATTATATAATTAAGAACCGATTTGATCAAAATGTTAAGGTACAAATCAGCGTTACAATAATTTTATATGATTAAAATGTAACCAAGCTATATATTCTGTATTTCATTTAGGGATCCTGCGTAGGGCGATTGCTGAGGATCTGGCCATGAACAACGTCGCGTCATTCGTATGGGGCGAAAAACCGAGGTTCTATGTACACGTGCACGTTTAAGAACCCGTTTCACGAAGAGTGGGCGAAAACGCCACTGTCCAGGCAAACCTTCACTCATTACCCACTGCATGACGTATGCTCATTTTCATTAGTCCGTTTGGTGACGAAATGTAGGACGTTAAACCCCAATTCGTTTCATTTCATCAACAGCCACAATTTTAAATACATTTGAAAACATATACTAACTACAAAGAAAATATATATATTTTCTTACCGGAAACGTTATTTAAATCCAGATACTTCAGGGGAAACCTTTTGAACAATCTTCACTTTGGGTTCGGACTGTGGGTTCTTCAACAGATCAAGCCTTTGTACTGCATTGGAAAAGGACTAGCTTGTTCTTCCTCCTCCAAAACCATTGTTCGGGATGACGGTGACATGCCCTACTTCTTGGTTAGAGATCGGGCCTTCCCATTGCGAACATGAATGGTGAAGCCATATAGCCTTCGTGGGAACACAAGACCCCAACATATTTTCAACTTGTGTACATCCTGTACACGCCATGTGGTTGGAGATGCCTCCTGACGACACAGCAGTTGAAACCAAACAGGTTCATCATCTTTTTCAAAACTATTATATCGAGAACTGACAGATCTTTATCTAAATCTTCCGTACTACATCTCTAATTTATTGTGGGCAATTTCAGACAATAATTTAATTGTTCCTGGACATTCGAAATTTCGGATAAAAATAAGTTTAGACATATGACCTAATTATGTTCAAGGGAACTTTAGTTAAATTACCATTGAATTCTAAAATAACAATTACAATATGCTTATCGTGACTTAAATTGTGAAGATACCATCCCCCTTAAAAAATACACCATTGGGCCAAAATTTTTCTATTATTCCTAATTAATTACCTGCACTTATTGGAATTCCGTACAACAATAACATATATATTTTTTAATAAATAATAAATACCATAATACTTTACTGTTCTAATATCGGTTGATTATTAACGCCTATAACTCTGATTGATTATAAATTTTTAAACAGTTTGCCATTTGATGCCGTCATGAAACTATTCAATCAGATTCGTGTTTTGAAATTCTTTAAAGAAATAAATAAAAAAATAATAATATATATTGCATTTGATATGATGTCATTTTTAATAGGACACGACCTCTTTGAATTGGTTGAAAAATCAAAGTATCGTTTTAATTGGATATGATGTGTTTATTGGTTTTGAGATTTCTTTAAGGTCTTTTGTAAGGTAACGGTTATAAATTTTGTGTTAAACAATCAACGATGTAAGTACGTAAACGAAACGAACGTGAGTAATTAACACGAGTACTTTATTTTTTATCTAAATCGAAAACGTAGTTCTTTTCATTGTAGCAAGGTGAAACGATACGTGCATATAATGGTTAAAGTACTGATTCAGTATTCAGGAGGTAATTAAAGATCCACCCTGACAGCTGCCGGATTGTGAATCTGTAAACCAGAAGTTCATTAAATAAACCATTTAGTGGACTCAGCTGCAGATTGGTGTTACAGATAAAATATAATAACTCCTTTTTACAACTTGATCAATATGTAAAATGTCATTCACATCGAGGCATTTCAAAAATCCAGTTTGAACAAATCTAGTAGTATCTATCCTTAGAGTAATGTATCAGTTATTTACTGAATGTCAACTAAATAATTTGTATGGATTTTCTTCAGAAAAATTTCTCATCGAGATAATTATAAAAGAAAGGTCGGTGTGGGTATATGTAAGTTTCACCAAAAATATTAATTTTTACGAATCTAAGTTGTTGGTCAGAGGTCTTACAAATCACCAGCAGTTTAATGCTATTGTTTTTAGTATATACCGCCGTAGATCGTTCAGTGAGTGATATTCCCGACATTAGGCCCTTCACTATATAAGAGAAATAATCAGTCTAAAATCGTGATGAGAAGTAACCTCTCTTTAGTTATTTGCCCTCAGTTAGGCATTTAACGCGCGGATTATTCTGTTCCAAATCGTAACCTTTGTAATGTCTGCCAATGGATCCCCGGAATTTTAAACGCTTCCGAAATATGTCATGGCCTCCTGTTGCCGACTCGTGCATTTGTAAAGAAATGTTTATGACCAATTTGAGTCTATAAATCGCCACGAATCTTATATTTGAATTAAATATATTTAATTTGCTATACATGACTTAATAAACACCGAACCAACACTATCATTGAGGCAACTAGAAATGATATTTATATCTCATGCCTTGTATTAAATGTTTTATTTCAATATGATAGCCTATCCCCGTTTCGTGACAAGAGCAAACATGTAGGCCAAACATTTAATGACAGCAATGCATGCGCGTAGAAGTAAAATCGTTAAATCTCATATCTCCAAATGTGTCTATACGACTCATTAGTTAATTGATTCGATTATAAAACATGAAATATTGCATGTTCACAATATGTCTCTTCTTTACATTATACACTCCGCCATCTTCATCGGGTAATCTCGCTTTCGTTTAGCTAGTTTAGTCAAAGATTTTATGTTTGGAACTACATCCATGCATTCTGAATTGTACATTTGTAAATCGATAATGAATTTTCAATATATATAAACCGGCACAAATCTACGGGATAGAGTACGCATCCATTGACGGGGTTGTAATATTGAAAATGGACCCATTTTTTTGTAAAATAGACATATCTTTAGATGTGCAAAACACCTACAAGTCAAATTTCAAATTTTCCCTTTTTATAAAATGAAAGTCGATGTCATGACGAAAAAAAAAATTAATGGAAAACCATTTTTAAAAAAAATAAAAATACGTTCCTCAACAAGCATCAATTGGCCATTAATTTCATTAATCAATTTTCTTAATCTATCCTTTTATTATCCTCTATTCATTGTTCCTAAATTGCACCCATATACAACAGATTAACACGCGTGTATACATGTTTTCTGTTAGTTACCTATATACTATGTAACCGTAGACAATGGTGTAGTACCACTGGTCTTTTGTCAGACGTGGAAAGCGGGCCTTCAACACCCCGGTCTCCACATCCGGCGTATGACCCATGCACTCTTTTCTTACTATATATCTTGGAACAGCCCTTAATCGTCTAGTATTTGTAATTTACTACTTGGCTTCCTTTTCACGTTGTGTATTTTCTTCGTACTATCTCAGTAGTTAAGACGTTTGTCTTACCAGGAATAACAATGCATCAGTTCAGTTTTAAATTTTATATCAAGCTGGATATATACCTATGCTTACAATTCATGGATAGATCACATTAGCACACTCATAATTAAAATCTTTCTCCCAACCCCAACTCCTGTAAAACTCTAACCAGCATGGCTAGACTCAGGAAATTGCTATAGCATATGGGCTAGGAACTCAGATGGTAATCTCTCCGGAACCCAATGATATCTATAATAATTCACTTTAACCTAAACACAGAAAAACATAACTCAAATCTTAAAGTTCGTTGATTCTTGAAGTGTCCTATTTTCAAATACTATAAAGCTGCACTTCTAATTTACAAAGTTCAATTTCCACTTTAAATTCTGCGATTCATCATCTTGGATTTCCATTGGTCTGTTTCAGCTACCATAGTCTCAACAATGAAAAACTTTCTTTTTTCTTTTAAATAAGGATTCCTCAAGTTAATCACCAGGTCCCGACCTCTAAGAATTTCCTTCAATCTTCTGTGATGATTGGTTTTGGACAAAGTACAATTTTATCCGTCAATCAAACATGTCTTTGCTATCAGACCAAGAACTAACTATTTCTAATTTAAAGCTTTATTTAAATATTAATCTAACATTATTATTCCTAAATCTTATTATTGACTCGTACTTAATAAACTTTGACGTGTCTCTTTAATCATCAGAAATCTAAATCAGTATTAAATTTCAAATCTTCAAACTGACTTTGACCTCTTGACCGTAACTCAGTAATCTTCAATTTTATAATTTTATAATTTCCGTTTTTGTTTTATAATTCCGCCAAAACAATTACATTGTTATTTTATATTTCCCCGTCAGTAATGTGACCTTTTGACCTAATCATTTACAATTTTGTATTTCGTTCTGTATAAACACTAGTCAATATTACATAAACATTTCCTATCCGACCGATATCGACACAAGCGGAGTTCAAACTTATGACAATACCAGACTATAATTTATTTTAGGATCGATAGTAAATTAAGACCAAATTATCGGATGTCTATAAATATTTAGGTGTTAAAGGAGATTATATCAGGTAGCTATATAGCAGCTGGGTGTGTATTAATCAGATTGTGTATTAGTGACGTTTTAAGAGTCTATGTACATTGCGCAATATTCATTCATGAGAATGTTCAACAGCGCTGTTCAAAGAGGGTTCCCGCTGTAAGGCAGAAAATTTATGCTATTATAGTGAAGATAAATCTTCATTTTCAGTGGCGTTCCTAGCTGGGACTGACTAGGAACAAATGATTTGGTGAAAACGGGTTATTTTAGGATTATAGGGGGCTACAATGAGTTTATCTACAAACCCTTGCAGACGTATACAGATGTAAGAGAGACCACTTAAATATTGTGGAGCAGTAACACAGGGGTTTAAATGTGATCTTTAACTTACAGGACGAAATGTAGTTCTTTGACAGCAGTAACGGGAAGTAAGATATATTATCCGGACTGTGTTCTGGATACCTCTTGTGGTCACCAAACAATAGACGATGATGCACCAGTTAGCACTCCTTTATAATAGTCTATTTTGGAAGGACGGCACTATCTCAATAGTCAGCATTAAACCTTCAGATGAATCCAATATTTCCTAGGATACTTTTGATATATATACTCTTCAAAAAAGTAGGGGGTATTCAGAAACAATACAAAACTGTGGAAATGCACTGCTGTGTTTATAAGAGGTAACCAGTGTATGTTAATAACAGGCCAATTGCATACACATGAACATAAACAGTTCATATGGGCGGCTTATCTGACGGCACCATTTCACTCGCAAAGAGATATACTGTCAAAAGAGAAAATGGAGGTGTTTGATTTTTGTCATAATAATGAGCAATTGCTCCACCAATCCGCCGACATTCAGCAATTCGTCGTGGCATGCTCCTAATCAACCGTCCAATCACGATTTTGGGCAATCTGACCCACTGTTCTTGCAATGTCACGGCCAATTCTTGCAGTGTTGTCGGTTGGTGACGTCGACGAACACGTCTCCCGATCAAATTAAACGTAACACACTAAAGTAAAGATACGCTAAACAGTAAATCATATGCAAGAACCGATAGGAAAGCAAACATGGATAGATAAACCAGCACGCGGCAGTTTTCATCAACCCTTTCTTGAAGTGTCAAATTTGACAATGAACCCTTCCCCGTGTATGGCGCTATTGCGTGTCGCATGTACAGCTCAGTGATTCTGTTGGGGCGATAAGTTCTTCATCTGTGAACATACTCTCAAAGCATGTCAAATATCCATGACTATTTATCATATCGCAACCTGCATAGGTATTTGCATTTCAATACCCCCTACTTTTTTTGAAGAGTATATATAGTTGATATTGGTTTCCATATTGAACTTCTTATAAAATTCACTCTGATACATAATTTGCTGATTTAAACGGGAATATAAAGGTTGCAAACTTTCACATGGGTTATGGCGCAAAGATCACGTTTGGTTGTGGAACCAATAAGTTAAAGCTTCAGTTTCCCATCCGTGAGTTTTAGGGGTTTTTTGGTCGTCATCCACACTTTTTGGGATTGTGTCTTGCAGCTGATACTGGACATATTTGAGCGTGATCATTGTACAAATGTCTAAGATGGTCATGTTCACTTATACGTTAATCCGAGCTATTTAGTGTATTGAGTATTGGGATTGTGTCTAGCAGCTGATACTGGACATATTTGAGCGTGATCATCGTATAAAATGGCTAAGATGGTCATGTTCACTTATACGTTAATCCGAGCTATTTAGTGTATTGAGTGAACAGTATCGGTCTCAATACAGATCCTTGGGGGAACTCCACGGGTTAAATGAAGACGGACATACGAACTGATCAGAATTCGAACCTTCGTCAGTGCATTTGCGCACGCCACCAAACGACTAGACGTCGTTTCTTGCTAGACCCAAAATTCCGCACTGCACTGACAATGGTAATCCAGGCTTTTAAAATTAATGATATAACAAGATAATCTTGTTATGATCAATTGAAAGGCCAGAGTTTTACATACAATTTAAATATGTATCTTAAAATAAAATAACCATCTAAGCGTATGTAATTTTATTACCTTCTTTGGTAAATCTAAATGAACAAATGGCTGCATCTATGAGAGGGATAGTAATTAAATAAACATTATTCAAAACTAGCCAATAATAAATATTTTATTTGATTGAAACTAAAAACCTATACACGATAGATTGCATAAATCAAATAATATCTGTTACCTCAACGACACGCGTATCATTACTTACAGATGCATTATGCAAGAGCTAAATCTGCTTTTCTGGCCTCAAATGTTCTATACATTATTATTTAAATATTTATTCACATAGTAAACGTATAAGCAACACTCTGGATCATCGGATGGCTGATATATTGAATAGATTAGACAACAGCGCCACCTAATCAGTTAACGTTAAAATGGATGTTATTTAATAAAAGGACTGACAATCAAGACATAACAATGGTACTTAACAATCGGAACTTCACCAAAAATAAAGTAGTTTGACAGCAATTTTCAATAAATTCATTATCTATTTTTGAGCTATAGCAAGAACTGCCAGCTCTTTATCTTAATATTACAGAATGCATCTTTAATCTGTTTTACTGTTTTCGGAAAACAGTTATTACTTACAAAATGAGTTAATATTTTTATTATTAGTATTATTATTATTATTATAGCCTGCACTGATAGCCATCATAATGTTGTTGAGTATGACCACCATCCGAGACATGCTGGTAGACCGGCAGTAGAGATACCTGATGAACAAAGATTGTTAAATCATCTATTAAGAGGCTATGAACGATCTGTGCGACCAGTACGTCACGCAAATAATACCGTTCTCATCAAAATGGGACTAACATTGACACAGATCTTTGATATGGTAAGTAACTGTAAGGTAATTAATCAAAATCTTTCTATATATATATATGGTTTTTGTGATTTTAATCTAGGAACACTATGCCGTAAAAATCAAAACATGTTTCCTCAGTCTTTAAAACAAAAAGGTGGTAAACGCGCAATTTGCAGATTTCCACGTCCTTGTATTTAAGAAGAATCTATCGTTAATTTCACATTTATCTAATACAAACTATTAACATTTTAATAGAAGCTCATGTAAGCTTAAATTTTGAAAACAAGTTGAATGTACTGATTCAACCTAATAATAAATAACAATTCAACACGTTGCAAATACCAATTTTCATTCTGAAATACCGAAATGAAGTCTTGTTTGGAACAGCCGATTTGTTTTGATCACACGGTCGCAATAAGGAGGAGCTTGTGTTCAATCAGTACCATATTACCTCTGCTAACTTAATCCTTAGCTAAAGTAAAGAAATGTCGTAAATCGGTTTCACTGATACTCAACGACTAACTAACTTCATTGTGCTACCAGCGTCGCTGTTAAATGCTGAATGACTAACTAACCTCATTGTGCTACCAGCATCGCTGTTAAATGGTCATTCACTTGACCCCATTTGAATCAGAACTCTGGCCAACACTATATTTAATATAGATTGCATTTGTCAATGAAGAAGCGGCCTAAATAGTCATTTGTCTCCTAGGCCAAATGTGGGTCAGCTTATGACTAGTTTCAGCACTTCATACCATATAATCAAGGTATATAAAACTGTCTATAAGAAGGATACGCATCAAGCGAGGCAATTGTCTGAGCTTAATTTTACCATCTTTAATTAAAGAAAATGTTTTAGAAAATGTGTCTTTTGAATGTGTTTGGTAAGCTTGTCTGTAATTTAGGCTATAGACGGTATTCTCTTTTAATATGAACAGTTGTCATTGATTCGGAAGTTCACCGTAGACGCCAATAGCTCAGTGTGTCATCGAGATATTTGAAATAAGCTCAACTGCAATTTACAAGCCACGATTTGCTAGAATTCGTGAGAATGAAATGGCATCCACCTTCAAATGTGTCTAGTGGATGTTCCAGACAGGTCGTACTCTAACGAAGAAGTTCATTCTTGATTTGGTATTGCAGATTAATAATCATAACAATTTGATTCTGATATCTCTTACCTACCAATATCTTTTGATTTTTTGGCATAATTGTCAAATCTGTTATTTAAAAAGTTTGGCTAATATACTGGCCAAATTAATAGCATTTTTTCTAAAAACGTTGCAGAATTAACTCACTAAAATTAAAGTATGGATAAAATCATGCACCGTGAATATATTGAACAGAATATTCTTACACTTAACCATTATTGACATCAACTTCACATTGCATGGTCGGTGCATAATTTTATCCATACTTCAACTTTAGTGATTTAATTCTGCAACGTTTTTAGAAAAAATTGCTATTAATTTGGCCAGTAATTATTCCTTTATGTATCTGGTATGATGTGTACGTATTTCTGTTTGAATATAATGCATACTGTATATTCATAATAAACGTCTCATTTACATACGTTTGATCAAAAATAAGTCTAACAAAATATAAAGTTATTTTTAGTTTATTTATTCCGCTCTCTTATTTTGATTGTGTCTGGATTCTAGACCTAATGAAAGTATTTGTGTTTTTGATGTCACATTGGGTTAATTAGATACCAAAACCTTGTTATATCTCATATATTGATAAATCTAAAAGTCGATTTCATTACACGTAATGCAACTGTTGTGTGTTTACGAGGTATCACTATTGTACAAAACTCGTGCTTTCGCTAATCTTATGAGAATTCATTGGCTTACGATTCAGATCTGGTTACCACAATATTGTCTGTCCGCGTGCGGTGTCTGAAAGCAAATCATTAAGACGTGGTTTAAGTCTAACCATAAACTGCTTATCATCAAGCCCCTCAGTTCTAAGACTTGGCCTCAAGTTAAAAAGCACAAAAACTCGCCTAATCGAATACCAACATCAGTAGCTGGCTTGTCATGATACACAATGGTTTCCAGTTCTCCAGTATATAGGGGTTGGTATGGGGATAATTTTAAATCAACAATTCCATATTGTGTGTAAAGAAACAGCGAACGTTGATCTACATTTTCACTTATACAATCCATCAGAATTAGAGCTTCAACACTGCTTTACTACTACCTGTAGATAACAGAATTAGAGAAAAAAAAATTAATCTAACTTTCCAATAAACCTACGGCCTTGAATCATTAAGATGTTTTAGTAGTCAGATACACGATGACAGCCACATAAAATGAATTATTAAATTATATTTCGATAATGAATATGTTTGAGCGACAGCCTAATAAAGTAGCCTACTCCTTAAGAGTTATGGCTTATGTCAATTTGAAAACAAATAATTTGGGACACAAGACAGAAGATGTATGTTATTTCCAGGAAGGCTGTTTTTTCAATATACAGGATATTGTTCTCTTATTTCTTAATTACCACTATGATGTTTTTTTCACGGTCAGTGGCTTTAAATCACCGACATTTTGATCCGAATTTATTTGGTGATATTCGGAATAACATCAGCGGAATGTTGGAATATTAGGCCGCATTCCATGGGCACAAATTGTCGTTGCAAAAATATTTTCGTTCCTACAAATCCGGTCTAGAAGAAATTTTGTCAGTGTATAGTTCATATAGAGATATTCGTTTGTTGTTATATTCTCCAAAAAATTCCATAGTTCTTCGTGGATATTCTTCGTTAAATCCGGACTATTTATTGATAGTAAAATTCATAGTGCGCGAGGTCACTGGACAGAATTCAGCGTTGTTCGCCGCGTCACGTGATCGTTTTTTCCACCATAGACCAATCACGTTATTGTCTACATTCGCGTGTGTTGTTGGTAAACACAAAATGACGTGCTTCACGAGGAACACATTGCAGTTATACATGTAGAAGCAACACGAAATGGCGACAAGGGCTCAATTAACTTGTATTGTTCACTTAGACAGTGTTAATAAGGGAAGTGCAGAACCCTTTACAAACACAAGGTGAGATAAATGTCGTGAGGTAGCTATAGACTGGTTTCAATTGGATGGAAATGACCAATCCATTGCAGCATTTTTCGATACAAATGGATATTTTATTACGAAGGATATTATACTGAAGATACAGTCGGCAGTGGTTTTGGATTTCTCCAACGTTTTATAGATGTTTTAAGAACAAAACAGTTAAATGATGCGAGAAAGAAAGAGAGTGACTCAGTGATAAGGCAGCGTCTACATTCAGTCCAACCGAAACTAAACTGTCACGACATACAGACTATTAGTATTAGTATTACTGTGATGTGGTCATAATATATTTTACCAAACATTATTTAACAACTTACTATTAGTATATTAATCATTCGATTCGCTCATAACATAATATTTTAAACACGGTTTCACCAAACCTTCAACAAGATATGACCACTTCTATTCCAACTAGTAGAAGTAATAAATAAATGTAATAAATAAAGGTGCATCATATATAGGCTACAGACCATAAGTCCAGAAAAATTTGTGAATGAAAGAATTGAATATAACCATCCAAGTCAACCCAGAACATTGCATGCTGTGATTCAAAGGAAAGAGGGGAATACTAATTAATCAAAGTTTTTGATAATCCCTAATTAAGTCTTTCACACCCCACTGATAAAATAACATGAGCTGAACATTAATGTCCAGTCGACACGGTTCCTTTTTATTTAAATAATTTGCTTGCATGTAAGGGTCTGTAGCAGAGGGAGGAAACTGGGGGACTCGGAGAAAACTCACAAGTTGAACAAGTGACCCTAGTCCTTGTCACGTACAAGCAGAGAATTGAAACCAAGTCATTGACGCAATGACAGACCTTATGATTTCATGTGTACATGTTAAACCATTCGCCACCCACCCTCCATATTAAATAGATGTCTTTGTAAATTATGTATGTTATAGTTATACAGTGCATTAAGTATTAAATGTCTACAGTGTTTTTAAATTTATGTATTAAAGAAATGTATATGAAAATATTATCTATTAAGAAATATTGGTATTTATTTTATGCAATATTTATATTAATAAATATCATTTGATACATAATATATCAAAATTCAAATGTTCTTTTTGGCCATTATGACCCTAATGTTTTGACCGTTATGTAGTTTTGACCAAAATGTTTGACCGTTATGACCAAATACTTGAGCCATTTTGGTTTAGGGCCTTTATGTCCATAACCCCTACTACTAAGCCTAGTACTTCAACAAATTTAAAAACTAAAAGTGTGTCTCATTCACCTCTACTCCTTCATAAATATCACCAAAGGATTCACATCATGGTGCAGTACTTGTTACTACTTCATCAGAGTTAAAGAAGTCAGTTTTATCAGAGATCTGTATAATTTGCAAGAAAAAATCCAAGTATGTTCGAGCGGGAGCCATACAAAAGAGGGACAATTTAGTCCAGTGCGAAACAAAATCAGCATTTTTATTATTTTATTTAAAGCACCAATAACAATTTTGCTGTTTTGATAAGTCCAGTGAAACAAATACCGGTAACTACTAAATGAGTTAGTGTCTTACTCTTAGTGTAAATCCTCCATTAAATTGTATTTTATTTATCTTAGGTGATCAAAAATATTTTTCAAATCAAAGGTAATTAGTTTTGGATTTGTTTAAAGAAATCAGAATATTTATTAATCAGAAGCAAGATTCCAACATTGAAAGTGTGTTTGGCACTTTTATCGATGATTACATGTAAACTATGTCGTAGGTGAGCCCCATATTGATGGGGGGGGGGGGCATCTGGTTCATTCGCAATTGCAGACAAAACCCAATTTGAATTCATATATCTATTGTAAGCTATACATTGTAGATGCAAAATTTTATTTTGTCCATATGGGCTTTTCCCTGACAATTCTGAGCTAGTTCAAATTATTTAAGCATTTCTTCTTAATATTTCTGCAACTTTTTAAGTTTTCAACCTTTATTTCAAAATATGTTTTTTCATTCTTAATCTTAGCTATACACTAGCCTATCCATGATCATTATGACGACAGCAGGTTTTAAGTATTTTGTTATGTAAAATGAATGATTTTATTAGAATTACAATTATAGAAGCAGTGACCTTGTTGCATTCTCTGTAATCTACCTTGATATTAAGGCATTTTTCTAGTGAAGTAGACCGGTCTAATATCCTTAATCAGTGTCGAAAAAACCAGACTGACTGCCACATTTTATGTCAGTGTGATCAAAATACCTTTTGTGGCTCTCATACACCACTTCTCTACACGGATGGGACGTTTTTGCGGTTCATTTGATCTCTGTTCGTCCCAACCGCGAGCGATTTGCAAGGTAAATCGTTCGCATGGCTTTGTTTACAAATGCTATGACCTGGCACTTGACCCCAGAATTTTGGACCGCAACCCCGCTGATTGGCCAAATTTTAAATAGATGCGCAGGATCCAACTCACATCTACGCAAATATGGCTCCGCACTATAAAGAAATAAGTCATCGATTTATAGCCTATTTCGAGCTTGAACTATTAAATTGCCAAATTTTATTGGAGAACTTTTTTGACATATTGATTGTACGATTATTGATAGTCCGATTTGTAGACCGGTTTAGCGGGAGCGAAAGTGACAAGATTTCCACCCCAAGAATACGGCCTATATATAATTTTTTAACGTTTCACCGATGTGCTTCTTCTGATACCAAACATTCTCAATGTATTATTTCTATTATCAATTGCGCCGTTCAGTGGATTCAAAGTTTCCTGACTCCTCTTCTTCCAATTCAAACCCCCAAGAGGTTTTAGAGTCTGTGTTCCGTTTGTTCTTTCATATCATCCGGACATGCGTTATGCCCGACTAACAGGAACATCTTTCCCTTCTCGACCAACCTCCGGAATTCCTGTCTACTCGTTGTTCTGTTCTATTTTATAGAAATGTTTATACAGGCTTATATGGCCATTGATGTCCTCTATATTACCGTTTCAAAAGATTCTAATCTCATCGTCTGAAATGTCTATAGCTTCATGGCTATCATTAAACTCATCTCTGCTTCTCTACCATATCTAGAAATTTAAATTGATTATTATCACCAATTTAGACTAGTTACTATCTACGCTAGTTCCTTTAGGAAGGGGCTGATTGGACGCTGTCCCCCAACCGTTCCTGTTCATCCTTAATGAGTTGCAATATGAAAATACCGCCCTACCCCTACCTTTGTTCTAATCCTAATTTGGAATCAATCTCGCCACATCCGACACAAATTTTGCGACCTCTGGTCTGCGCAAACGCCAGTGTCACAATGACAGACCAATTCAAACGTATTTGTTTATTTTTGTGAATCGCAAAATTCTTCTTGAAAATAGTGTTTAATTATTATAAATTTGTGTCAGATGTTGCGCGAAATGATTCCTTTTGGTGGAAAAAGAAGCACCACGGTGAAATATACAAGGTAGGGATTGCAGCTCAATAGGGATGAACAGGAACGGTAAGAGGACAGCGTCCGATCGGAGACCGTTCCTAAAGGAACTAAGTCTACGCTAACAAAATCAACAGAAATATCCCTCTATTCACAGAAGCGTGCCAAGAATAATCTGCAGGAAAGGAGATGTCAAATGGTAAATTATATACCACCACTCTAAAGACCACAGAAATCGTTATGTGGTTGTTACCGACATTGTCGTTCTAATTGGTGTTTTGTTTTCGATTAAGTTTGAGAGGCTGTGTACATGGTCTGAAATTTTGAATCAAGTATCAAAGAGCACACCGATACATTATTATCTGTCCTTCCGTTGCTTCTGATTGCCATTGAATAATTTGGTATCCATCTGTCGCGCTTTTTGAGACATAATAACCCTGCTTCTAATTGAGCTTGACTGTTAAAACTTGATGTAGGTGCTTTTTATGTGACTGTCGTGATGGAGTGTGATGATGAGCATTTTCTGCTTAGGCTAAGCAGAGATGGACAATTTGATTAGTCGATACTGATTCTAATTAAGCGAGAGGGGTGAAACTTGGTGTACAGTTTCATTACATAATGCCTTGACTATGTACGATAATATGCAGCAGGGTGATAAGCAATTTGATTGATCGAGCATGACTTTTGGGCATGATCATCTCTGATTCTATTGAGTATTGAGACTCGAAGTATAATTTCGTTCCATTACATCAATACCTTGACTACAGCATAAGTAATATGATTGGCGAAGATTTGTAACACAACAACTCTGCTTCTAACTGAGGTAGAATGTTCAAATCTGGTGTAGAGATTCATTAAGTAAATAGCTTGCCTGGGTGAGATGATTGGCATTTTCCACTCAGGCTAAGCATGTTCCACTCAGGCTAAGCAGAGATAAACAATTTAATTGGTCGGTGCATTGAAACAGATCACTTTGGTTCTAACTGAGTGAAAGTGTGTAATTTCAAGACATCAATTTTCTGATTAAGATGAGTTTGATTTTTCGATGCTTTACAAAAAGATAAATGTGAAATTAATGAATATGTATCATTCATTTATTCTGGGATTGAGGCGGAGGACGTCAGCCTCATGGTTAGCTTTATATATATAATAATAAACAACAATAAATATAACTCGATATATATAAAGTAATTTTTAGTTTATTTATCCTGGTCCCTTGTTTTGATTGTGTCTGGATTCTAGACCTAATGTAAGTTTTTTGTGTTTTTGATGTCACATGGGTTAATTAGGTACCAAAACCTAATATCGATAATGCTAAAAGTCGATTCCATTGCACGTACAATGCTCGCAAATGTTGAGTGTTTACGAGGTATCACTATTGTACAAAACTCATGCATTCGCTAATCCTCTGACATGCATATCTATACATATGTATTCAATAAGCATTCATTAGCTAAAGTTTCATATCTGTTTACGACACATCTGCCGGTGTGCTGAATCTAAAAGTCAATCATTAAGACATGGTTAAGTCTACCCATAAACTACATACGCTTAAAAGCCCTTCAAGTTTGATACTCAAGATAAAAAGCACCAAAACTCGCCAAATCAAAGAACAATGTCAATAGTCGGCATGTTACGATACGTCATGGCCTACAGTTCTCCACCGCATGGGACACTCACAGTGGTTTGAAGACTTTGTCCAAATACATAGAGATGAGGTTGATGTAAGAACAATTTCAATCCAACAGATTCAATCTTTACCTCTCTCCTCGTCGCTTGATCTTCTACACAGACTATCGGTGTCTAAAGAAATGGTGAGCCTTGAGCTAAATCCTCATTATAAAATCTATCAGAATCAGAGCTGTCTTTCAACACTGTTTTACTAGATTACAGAATAGGAGGAAAGGCAAATAATCTAACTTTTCCAATAAACCCACGGCCTCGAATCCTGTAAGATGCTTTAATAGTCAGATAAACGATGAATAAAGAAGGTTTTATTGATCACTGACAGCCACATAAAATGCAATATTAAATTATATTTCGATAATGGATATGTTTGAGCGACAGCCTAATGAAGTACTTTGATGTAACGATTTACATCCGGGGAGAGTTATGGCATCTGCCAATTTGAAAACAAATAACTTTGGTAGAAATGTCATCCTGTATAACGGACCACAAAAAAGGGAAATGAATGTGGTTTATCATCTTGTTATTTCCAAGAAGGTCGTTTTTCAACAATTTTATGATATTATGTTGGATGTTGTTCTCTACCTTCCTTATTAGAAGGGCGAGCTTTTCCTGGACAGTAGCTTTAAGTCTGTGCCATTCTGAACCTGACTTTATTTTCATGATATTCACAATAACACTAGGTCAGCGGAATGTTGGATCTTATAATCTTTTAATTCCTCTAGGTATGATTTACGCGTGGTTTAATGTCCCGGCAACACCCATGCCATTCTGGCGTTGATACTACACGCTGTTATTATTTCTTGTGAATACCTGTGAACTTAGATGGAATAAAATGCTTCATGGAAAAGCGACGTTTTCACAATTCCAATCGCTAATAGGTTTTAAAGTACATGTATGGTAGCCTAGTATTTTGCGTTCAGTCCGAACGAATAGAAAATCTTTTCATATCACCCCGACCAGCGTTACGCCTGAATTTCGGCCCCCTTTCACCTTCGTTGTTCTGTTTTATTTTATAGAAATGTTTATACAGACTATTCTACCGTTTCAATAGATTCTAATCTCCTCGTCTGAAATGTCTATAGCATCATTGCTATCATTAAACTTATCTCTGCTTCTGCATCATATCTAGAAATTTAAATTGATTATTATCACCAATTTAGACCAGTTACTCTCTACGCTAACAAAATCAATAGAAATAGCCGTTTATTCACAGATACGTGTTCAAGAATAATCTGCAGTAAAGGAGATCTCGTCAAATGTTAAATTATAGCGTAGAGAACTGGTATAACTCCCACTCTAAAGATCACAAACACCCAGTCTTTGGTTGTTACTCATTTTTTCATCTAAAACCATAAGGAAATGTCAATGGTTGTATTATTATGATGAAGTTTGGAAGTTTGTGCACATGGAATGATATTTTCAGTGGATTGGATTTGGGACATTAATCAAAAAAAAAACATGTAGCATCATTCTTCTTTAGTGTCATGCTATTGATCCTGACTTTAAATAACTGGGCGTTTTACACCGAAATATATTAGATATTATCCACTGTACATGCCTGAAATTGTAAAAGAAACATTATCCGCATAATACAATATTTTTACATTTTTGCATAATATCGGACACCTTTGTTTCATTCCGAAGCAAATAAATCCATCCAAATGAATGAAATTGATACTTTAATATTTCACACCTATATAAACTTTTCTTTTCCAGTCTTTTTTAAGACTTTACTTTCAATTGGAATGATTTTTATTAAAATTTTGATTTGAATTTCTTACAGGATGAGAAGAATCAGATATTGGTGACAAATGTTTGGTTAGATCAGGTAAAACTATATCAATTACTCTCTCTGTTAGTTTCTGAATTATATACAATTAGTCGTTCTGCTTTTCTTCAATTACATTTGCTGTATCGCATTTGTTTTTGCAACTGGGTTAAATCAATACAGGAATACGACAAAAAATGTCATCTATGTCAATTTTTCCTGTACTGGAAAAAAAAGTTACTAACACAATAATTATGGAAAAATTCAGTTTTTGCAGTTTCGTAGATTTACTTTGTGTATATTAAATAGTGACAAATAAGTCATTGAAACTTACTTACTTATGTATACAAAATCATTTTTTACCTGCAGATATCATAGCATTTCAGGGCCGAACTACAAATGAATTTCATATTATTAATTGACTGTAAAAAAAATTCTATCGCGTGGAAGATTTGTATTCAAATTTCATTGAAAAGATTGTGACACCTATTTAGAATATGAAATTGAATAATCAGAAAATGAATATAGAAATTAACTCTCGCGACGCCAAGCATCATTAGCATTATGTATTATTCTCTCTTGTGAGTCAAAAAAAGATATCATGGGTTATTACTCATTGAAAATAAGGAATGGGATATTGACGCTTTAGGTTCTTGAACGCTTTATAAACCGTGTTAGAAAATAGTTACAGATAACTACAGAACTCTTTATATTATATTGGTGACTGTATCTTAGAAGCTTCGCTCAAGAATCTCTTTATACGACGATCTATAGATTTGACGCTATTCAGTCTTTCAATTATAAGAATTCTTGAAATGAATACATCTAGTATCTGAAAGAGATAGTCATTTTGTTTGAAGATCCTAAATATGATAAGAGTGTATGGGAATCTTTTTTTTTTAAAAGTCTCTCTTCTTTCTAGGCGGTTTTATGTACCACATTTACTTGGATTAATGCAATACAGAGCGGGTACGAAAAGTAAAGTAGAACAAGTTCAGCCCTGCGTATACTCGTATTTATGTCGCCATGACTGATCTGTTCTATTGTATTGTTCTACCACTTAAAACACCAGATCATGACAATACTTTTCTTTTGTTATGACCAAAGCGTTTTGATACTCTGTAGGTTGTTCGGTCACACACTTGTATACGAGAAACGTCACCCGTATAAACCCATTGGTTTTCTGAGCGATCTCCGCTTTCGCCATATTTATGCTAGTTCCGAAATTACTTAGTTTCTGTTGAGCTGATGTTAAACCCCAATTCTCTCTCATACACTATAAACCAGGTCATTGCTCTCATCTGGGAGGAATGACAAACCGTGATTCTTAAGAAGAAAGGCGAAGATAAGTACTTCGCATATTGCCAAGAAATACTTTATAAATCAAACAGCTGACCGTTAATTGTAGTTCAATGTAAGGTAAGCCTACTCGTAAATAAAAATATATTCATAACAGTACTCAACAAAATCCAAAGATTCCATTGTTTCTTGCTTTTTATTATCAAACAGAATATTTATTTTTCTTTCTGATTTTTTTTTTAAAAAATGAATATTGTTAACTTTTTTTTATCAAAGACTATTCTCTTTCAAGTTGAAATGTCAGTAAAATGTTGTGTTATTTTAACTGTAAGAGGTTGAAGAGAGAGAAATCAATATACAAATAATGAGTGTTACATGTTTTAACACTTTTCTACTATTGTTATGTCATCAAACAGTCTGTTCCTCTTGATCCTTCACTCGATAAATTACAAAATATAATGAAATCGTTTGAAGAACAAAATAGTGGTAGACGTAAGGTCATAGTCGCCCCATGTAGCTATACTATTCAAAAAAAGTAGGGGATATTTGATTTTTAAGTGTTATTAAAGTCACCTAATGAAACTGACGAAGAAACAAATGACAAAATGAAATGAAGTTCACATTCATCGATTTATTCCAAATGATCGTTAGACTAAGTAAGGCACAGACTGACCATTATAAGGGTAAAATGATACCCGGGGTCAAACAGCAAAGTTACCACAGCATCACAACCAAGTCAGTAACGGGTAAATCCTCCTCTGTTTGCCAAACAAGCATTGATCCGACGTGGCATACTCCTAATGAGACGTCTAAGGTCATTTTGGTCCAGATTGTCCCATTCCTGTTGCAACGCAGCAGCAAGTTCTTGGACATTGGCAGGACGTTGTTGACGTTGACGTAACCTCTGTCCAAGCATGTCCCAGACATGCTCGATGGGGGAGAGGTCGGGACTCAGTGCTGGCCAAGGTAATGTGGTGATGTTCTGTTGTTGGAGGTAACCTGTAACGATCCTGGCCCTGTGACATCTTGCGTTGTCATCCTGGAAGATGAAACGGCGGCCATGACGTCGTGCGAACGGCACAACATGGACTGCCAAGATGTTGTCCCGGTAGTACTGGCCTGTAACACGCCCTGCAACAACATGTAAAGCCGTTCTTCCAGCAACAGTGATGCCTCCCCACACCATAATAGAACCACCCCCAAATCGATCATGTCTGATGACGTTAACGTCTTGGAAGCGCTCGTTTCGACGACGCCACACCCTCCTACGTCTGTCCAAAAAATCAACAGTGAACCTTGACTCATCTGAAAACATCACATTGCTCCAGCGTCGATTATCCCAGTGTTGACGATCCCTACACCAACGACGTCTTGCCTGAATGTGATGATCTCTCAAACAAGGGATCACGCGAGGACGTCGGGCGCGAAGGTGACCCCTATGCAGTCGATTCCGAATCGTCTGGCCACTCACTCTCACACCAGTGTCTGTTTGAAGACGAGCGCTGATCTGATTTGCTGTGATGACAAGATTTCTCAAGGCCAAGGTACGGATAAATCGATCCTGGGCTTGAGTTGTCGCCCTTGGTCGACCTGAGCGTGGTCTGTCCTGTACAGATTGTGTATCACGGTATCTGGACCATAGCCTGCTTATGACAGACTGAGAAACATTCATCGTCCGCGCCACAACCGCCTGTGTTGTGCCGATCTGTAGCATGCCAAGGGCACGTAACCTTTCATTTTGGGTAAGCCGACGCATATCAAAATTTGTTTTCTGGTCACTAAAACAATTAAACTGATGTTTCCACCCTGGAATTCAATGCCACAATGACTGTAACATTCAAAGTCAGAGTCGTGCAAATCTTGGGTTGGACCCCCATGATGATCCCAAGCATCACCTGCATTCCATGCGGTAGCTATTATTGCGTTTGGGCGTCACATGTAACTGGAAATGTTTCTTCTGTTAGGTTCTATAGTGACTTTTTTTCGTAGTCATTTGCATATTTTAGTATTATGCCCCCAAAATCAAATATCCCCTACTTTTTTTGAATAGTATATATTTCTGTCTGTGTATTTTGTGTATTTGATCAATAAGGATTCGGAAATATAAATGTCACTGACATAAATATTGTGGATAATCTGACGTTTGGATGTATATAGCCATTCAAAATATCTGCATGTACAAGTACAATTAATCCCATCCTTAATCTGATATCTTTGTGTACAAGTACAATTATTAGATTCATTTCTAATCCGATGTCTGTATGTACATTGTACAAGTACCATTAATCTCATTCCTAATCTGATGTCTGCATGTACAAGTACAATTAGCCTCATGCCTAATTCTGATGTCGCCGCTTCGATATTTTTCAAAGAAATGCATAGACTGTGACTTCATTTTGGTAGGTGATTTCCCAAAAAATAATGTCTAATTATTTCATGATCCGTCCTCCTGAAAATCACCAAAATCTAGTTGGAAATATAAATTCAAACACTCGTCTTCGATTCTAGACCAGAAATATATGGAAATTGCCATGCTAAATGTGGGGATGGGAAAGCCGAAACAATTGCTATAAATAGAATAATTTTTATTTACAGCACCATGTTACAATGGTTGACTTTTTTAACGACACTATCGGATGACCCGGTGCTGCCAGGGGGGTTGTGTCCGTAACTCCGAAACCTTAAGCGGTAGGCCAACGCCAACTGGTCTAGTTTACTCCCCGGCCGTAGCTACCGTATACACCAAATTTCAGTCTCGAAACAGCTTTAGTGTAGCCGCTAATCCTGATCAGACAGACAAACAGACAAACGACAGTCACAAGTATTAGCATACATTATGCATCAGTGTGATTAAATCAGTGGTTGCTACTGACTGAATTCACATCTTTGTAATATGACCTGAAGATTATGTTATCAGGATGATGTCAATCGGATGTTATCTCTTCCTATAATAGTTCTTTGGTTGTCAAGATTTGTCAAGTCCGCGGAATCTCTGTTTGGAGAATTTGTGTGCTTTTTCTATTTCTTATTAACGGCGTTGAAGAAAACATAATGGTATTTCGTTTTGTGATAACTGTATGTTTCGTCAAATGTTTAAGCAATTTCGTTTACCGACCGTTAAACGGATGTCAAGTGTGTTTTCTCTGGTAACTCCGGGTCTCCGGTTTCTTCCCACCTCTAAGGGCCCTTGCGAATTATTGAAATACATTACATGTTAGTCTTGAATTGCCCCGCTCCTTATTTTGAAGGTGGATTCACAGATTATATTTTCTAACTAATATTAATGTTTTCTATATTAAAGGAGCATTAGGTAAGAACAGATAAAGAGCTGACAGTTCTCGCTATAATAATTAAGAAATAGATAATGAAAATAGAATATGCGGAAAATTACAGTCAAATTGCTTCACTCTGACACGAGATATTATCGATTCAATTTTAGGCTAGCCTCGGTCGTGATTACTAATGTTGGTACGATAATAAACGAAGTCTCGATTATTCATTTTTGCGTTAAATTATCCATCACAGAGTGTATTCGAATCCAGGCTAACGATGGCATCGATAGCTGATTAATGCAGTCTAATTAATGATTTAGATAACATTTCAGGTCTAAAGAAAGACCTGCACAGGTTTGGCATTTGGACAACGATGGTGGAAGAGGCCCCAGTTGTTAATATATCGTATTGATTTTGTCTTTTTTGGTTCTACTTCACCTTTAAGCCAAAACAGAAAAAAGGGACCAGTTCTCTTTTCTTTCACCATGCATCATTCCCCTATATCGAAATAATTTAACGGTTGACTAGATCGCGGAAAGTCAGGGCTTTACTAACATTCAAATAACGTTTGTATATTCCGTTGGTGTCGATGTACTATGATGTATTTATGATTATTTACATGTTTTCAGGAATGGAGGGACGAGTTCTTGGTCTGGGACCCGAAAGATTTCAACAATATAACCACACTTAGAATACCTTGTCATAAATTATGGTTACCTGATATAGTACTTTATAATAAGTAAGTAAATTCTACTAGGATATTATGTTGAAACCAGGATTTTTTATGAGTGGCAGCTCAGTATGCTTCCCAGTGGTTATTAACAGTGTCAGTGCCAAGTGTCCCAGGGGCTAAATGATAGGGACGCAATGATGAGCTTTGCGTCATTTTTTTTAGCTTTTGCGCTGCCTTAAGTTTTTGCTCCTTCTCACACGGCTTCGATGCGGTTTTCAACATTATAATCATAATCATAATGCTTAACTAGTGTCAAACATATACCGTGGGTAAAATATGCTGCAAATCAACTCTAGCATGTTCCACACAACCCAGTATTACCTTGTGGTACTGGGAGTGACTGCCACCCCACCCCCTCCCACGCACACACATATAAATAAGTATGGATCACCACGATCCTGAAGAGTCCAAACTTGTCGATATTAACAGCCGACTTAATATTTCTACTCAAAGTTGAAATGCTAGATAATTTATTATCTTTTGTTACTTATAATACAATATAGATTGAATATTATTATACAATCTGTGTGAAAGAAAAGTTTAAAACAGCATTGTTGACATTGAATTTATTAGTTGGTAGTATACGGCTTCTGAAAATTTTAAGAATGTCCCCTGGAGTAATTTATTAAAACTTTACTAAAAATCTGTTAATGAATAAGCATAGTCAAATAAATATTTTCGCATTGTTCCGCTCATCACCAAGCAGACCGGTCATTAGAATTGTTCCGTCCCCCATGCTAATAGATCTGGATCCGCGCTTGGTTGGTACTAGTTGTATCGGTGGTTGGCATACCAATTGATTCTTATTTTTTTTCTTCTTTCTTATGTTAGTTCATCAATCATTCCGACATCCCCTCTGTTTTAGCGCCCGGTCCCAGGAGATGTCGCCATTACCTATCGCCATAACGTATTGAATTATTGAATTAGAATAAAAAGTTATAATTGCCAAAAAAGAAATCTTCAGGGAGTATTAAAAGCGTCGAGAAAAACTATCGAACCATCTCTTAAAAGCTTCTTTTGCAGAAAAGGCCATTATGGATAGCTTTCCCTTCGTATTTCGAGAACCATTTTTTAATGTTGTGAAAATATTTATAGTAGCATTCATCCAGGCATTATTTGTTGACTTACTGTATATAGATATTTTGATAGCCTATTGAGCTAACAGAAAAGTTACTAATTGTCTGTAATTTATTTTTAGGTTATCCATCAAATTAAGTAAAACCTGATTTTTTAAAGAGAGTAATGGCTTTATGGAAAAATGTTGCGTTTTTTTTATCAATCACCCCATCCCCCACCCCTTTTAAATTGGTATCTTTACACCGTCAATACATAACCCTTTAGAAAATATAGCCGAATGAAGGAATTATAATACAAGCATGAAATTTAAAAAGCACATCATATGAATGTGTCGCTTCACAAGTGATACTCCATATTTAATATTGGCGTACTTCCTCGGAACCGGCTCTTATTATCCATTGGTGCGTTGTTAACATTGTTGTTTTAATATTAAGGAATACTCCATATTTAATATTGGCGTACCTCCTCGGAACCGACTCTTATTATCCATTGGTGCGTTGTTGACATTGTTTTTTCAATATTAAGGAATATCCAAATCTCTACTCTTTTTACATCCCCATGACGCGATACTGTGGGTCAGTTCTGGGCCAACAGATTGTACAGTCAATGTCGCTCATTCTCTTACACTTCAACCGTTGGAGGCAAGTTGAGATCACGAAGAACAAACTGGCTCCTCCTCGATAATGACGAATATAGTATTCGTTGTGGTCGAAACGGGGAAAATTAAAGCTGGGGCGATCGAAGGAAAATATGACAGGCCACCCAACATAATTTCACATACAAACGTGGTATCAAACATTCGACTCTTGCATCGGTAACTGATCCTGTACAGCACCAATGTTTTGATTTACTCTAAGCTGCCGCATCATGTACATTTTGAATATTTGTTCTTGTGTACATCCATCCTCTAAAATGATCAAATGTGTAGATTTGTCACTTTATTTCAAGTCGAAGGACTTTTAATCACATCATAGTTTATTCATTCAGAAATAAAATAGCAATAAAGATAGTCCCGTATCTCTGTAATATTTATGATGGTGCTAATTATGATATCTAAAAATAATGAGTTCAAAAATATCGATTCTCGAGTTATTCTTCAATAAATAAACACGTTGTAATAGGTGAACATTTCCAAATTTATTATTTTTAATTCTTGATTTTATATTTTCAGCGCTGCTGAATATACAGATGGATTAATGCCAGCTAATGCCATGGTAGAATTTAACGGAAACATATTTTGGCCAGTTCCAACCAAAATGCAGAGTTCATGTAAGGTCGATGTTACATTTTTCCCGTTCGATATTCAAGTCTGTAAGATGAAGTTCGGTTCCTGGACATATGATGGTTTTCAAGTGGACATGACAAATCGAACAAGTGAGGTGGATTTAACGAACTATGTTAACAATGGCGAATGGGGATTAATAAGTGTCAGCATAGTACGTAATGAGGTTTACTACGCCTGTTGTAAGGAACCCTTTCCTGACGTCACATTCCAGATTGTAATCAGACGTAGAACCTTGTATTATATGTATAACGTGGTATTCCCCTGCGTTATGATGTCAGCTCTCACCCTATTGGTGTTCTGTTTGCCGCCTGACAGTGGTGAGAAAATAGCTCTGGGAATAACAGTTCTACTCGCCTTTTCTGTCTTTATGTTAGCAGTAGCTGAAAATCTTCCTGAAACTTCGGAATTTGTTCCTTTGATAAGTAAGTATTATTACGAAATTTAATTTAGTAATTGACGTTAACGATGTTGGCAAATTTGATCTTAGTCTGTACGGCCAATCATAGAAGAGGGTCATTAAAATAGTCCCTTTGTTAAAATAGTTTGAAGTATTTTCAAAAGGAAATTTACGATCATGTAAAAACTCTTTCAAATTCAATTTGAAACACTTGGACAAGGGGTGAGCACTACCGGTTTTCTCAGTTTTCCCACCCGCCTCTTGCAAAATGTGGTGGGCTTATGTTGCATGGCAACTGCTTATTGAATATTATTGTGACCTAATAAATGTGGTTACACAGAACATAATTCTATGGAAAACCATTACTTTTTACTACTGAGCAACTTTTCGACTAGCTTGATGAACTAGAGATTCCTAGGCAAAATGTCGTTCAGTAGTAAACGGTAATTGTATTCCATAAAGTTACTAATTGAAATTTTAACAATAGTGAATGTATTGGTAAATACCAGTCGAATTACTTGTTATAAATAATATAATAAAACTTACCGTTATGTTATTACCGTGATAATATATTATTTGGATATAATTGTGACTATTCCAACTATTCATTATCCTAATCTTGTTAATCTACCAATGTCTAACTCCCCCGCCATGTTCATTATGTTTTGCCAAACTAATTCTGATATTGTGATATTTCGGAAATGACAAATGATATTTTGATTTACTGGAGCAGTTGATTTCGCTCACACATCTAGTCTTAACAGAAACAATTTCCACATATCGAATTTGTGATTTACCATCTAATTTAATTTTTAAAGCATTTTAGAAAATTAGAAATTGAGAAAAAAAGCTATAGACGTTAGTTTAAAGTTTGTGCAGCCAAAACTCTGGATGGAGCAAACATTCTGCCAACGTAGATATGGTTGGCCTCTGTGGATGTATTTATTAAATATAAATTGGGTCATTTTTGACGAACAGGAAGTGTATTACGGAGGGGACCAAAATAATCTCAGATTGCCTATATCTCGGTTATATCTCGGGTTTTCATTTTTGGATTCTTTGGACGAATCCCATACGGGCTCTGACAGACGGTGTTTCGAAATTCGGAAGTTCGCTCGATAATATTAACATCAAAGATTTGCGAAAGTTTTTTTCATCATTTTTTTCGACATTCAAGATGGCGTATCTCCGTCATTATTTGGGATATTAAGTTGAAACTTCGTAGGAATAAGGAAAACATCGATGCCTCTAACATGGTATATGAAAGAAATTTGTGACTAGGACTTCCGATTTTTCCAGAACATGAATAGTTCTCTCCATTTTAAAAATAGACAAAAAATGACATATGGTGGTGTTAGCCCCAGATATTATCTTTCATTTTTAAAGACCTTGTTCCTTAACATTTTCAACCGCTTGGTCGCCATATTGGCTTTTTTGCATTGAACCTTCTCCAAATGTCAACAATTCTTAGGAAGCAAATTTTTGAATTTCGATTTTATTTACTTCCGGTTTCACTTTGAAGTTTGTTCGACATTTCACCTTCTAGATGGTGCTAATCTTTCAATGACCCTTGACCTTTGTATGTATGATGACCCTGATGTCTACTAACAATTAATATTAAAAAGTTTGGTCATGAAGTATAACTTCCGGTTTTATTAAGTGTTCAAAATGACAGGTTTTTCCACTTAAATAGGTATTAGATGTTACTATACTCAATAATTCATGGTGTAACTTGAATGTTGACGCGACAAGGCGTGACGTGACGTGACGTGATATACCGAAGCACGTCAGTACTTCTTAGGGGTTCTAGTTTATTTTGATATTATATTGACATGTTTAACACCAAAATGTCCCTTTAATTATTTAAAACCCTCTGTTTGTTTTGGATATATATATTGGTTTAAATATCCTGGTAATTTGACTGGCAGCTTAACGTAAACAATGAAAATCGTAATCTGGTCTGTTTTCCTTATGTCAAACGCCAATGCGTTTCAGATTTCTGGGTATTTGATTATGAGAATGGAGGGTCGCTTAAACATACATTATGCAAGATCTAAATCTGCCTATTGCATGTCTTTCTTTGGGCCTGAAATGTTATCTAAATTATTAATTAGACATTAATTAACTTATCCAGACCATAATCAACTCTCGATGTCATCGCTAGCCTGTGATATTTACTGGATTGGAATCCGATCTGCTGCTCAACTCTCATTGATGATTAAATTAAAAAATGGATAATCGAGACTATGTGTTTTATACTATTTATAGTACCGAATTTAGTAATGATGATCAAGGCTAGGCCTCAAATTCAATCGCTAATTTCTCCGCTAAGAGGGGATCTTTGACTGAAACTTTCAGCAAATTCCCTTTACATTATCTAGTTTTTAACTATTATAGTGAGAACTGCCACCTCTTTATCTAATTAATTAAAGATACATTATGGGAGATAAGATAAAGAGATGGCAATTTTCGCTATAATAGTTAAAAACTAGATAGTGTAAAGGTAATTTGCTGAAAATTTCAGTCAAATTGATCCACTATGAGCCGAGAAAGAAGCCGGTGAAATGTTTGCATAGTCTCGGTTATCATTACAAAATTCATTAATATAAACAGCATAGTCTCGATTATCCGCTTTTTCTGATTTAATTATCTTTGGCCGTTAGCGGCATATAGGAATCTAATCCAGCCTACATCGAAGGTTAGCCTTGACATCGAGAGTATATTATGGTCTGGATAAGTTAATTAATGTCTAATTGATAATTTAGATAACATTTCAGGCCTAAAGAAAGACTTGTAATAAGCAGATTTTGCTCTTGCATAATGCATGTTTAACTTATCCAGACCATAATCAACTCTCGATGTCATCGCTAGCCTGCGATATTATTGGAATCCGATCTGCTGCTCAACGCTCATTGATGATTAAATCAAAAAATGGATAATCGAGACTATATGTTTTATAGTACCGACTTTAGTAATGATGATCAGGGCTAGGCCTAAAATTCAATCGCTGAATTCTCGGCTAAGAGTGGATCTTTGACTGAAACTTTCAGCAAATTCCCTTTACATTATCTAGTTTTTAACTATTATAGTGAGAACTGCCAGCTCTTTATCTAATCTCCCATAAAGTATCTTTAAGTAAGAAGCTTAGAGTCCGATAAGTATAAATTCAAACATTTTCAAAGTGGATTATGGATTTTCTATAATGTTGATCCATTACTGCTGTTTTGCAAACATTGCTATTAAGATATTTATATTTAAAATATAGTCATATTTTTAAAAGATTACAATCCTTCGCGATTACAAATACACTATTTCATTTTCTTCTTATATCCACCCATTTCGTGTTAGAGGATAAAAGTTCAAGTACATATTATTTAGGGATTAAACGTTAAGCCCTTTGTGTATTAGTGGGATTTAATCTCGGACAATGTTTTTGGTGGGTTATTTTTTTTTTACCACATGTAAATTCACCATAAAAAATACATTTATTTGTTGAATTTACTAGTAAGGGCTTTTTATTCCTTAATAAAATAATATCGCAAATGACGAATGGTAAAGTGTATTAAATCAGATTGTGTTATAATGCTTTTATAACTCAAATATTGTTATAATGCTTTTTATAACTCAAATATTGTTAGAATGAACATCTGTACATCATTGTCCTTCTTTTGGCAAGTTTGCAATTGGAAAATAATGATGTTAGTTCATATTTTGTTATCGTTTTGTATGTTGGTTCATTTACTCTGCAGTATGATGGCAAGATCCAATAAGTAACCAAGAGTGGTCAAAATGGTCACTCCTCGGGATATTTTAATAGTCGTAAAAATAATAATATGATAACTAACCACTTACTGCTCATGGTTTCGTTCAGCAGGTGGGTACCATAGCAACAAGCAAAACGCTTGACAGTTAGGGTTGGGCAAAAATGAAGATATTGCTTTGCAAACATATGCGTCAACTGTTTTCTTGTTCCATTTTTCTGCTGAACATGAATATGATAAAATATGAAGTCTATGATATCACTTTATATCTCGAAATACTAATATTCAAGATGGCGGACATTTTGTAGATTTTTGAACTAAAACTATTGCATCAGCTTGTCACCGAAACTTGTAATATGTCTATCTATAGGTATTTGACTACTCTGAAGACGAATTTGACAGCTAAAGGCATTTCTGGGAACTTAACGCCGAAAAATCATTATAATTTGAAAATAATACAAAAGATTCTGAGCATTAAACTTTGCAATAAATCGAAACTATTTATAAAACTGAGGAGTAAATCATTCACATCCTTTCCAATCTCTTCCTCTGGTTTCAGCGCGTTTCTAATTGAAGATTTTAGTTCTACATTTGATAAGCTCTCGAATTTGAACTGATTATCTCCAAGCTTCACTCGTCGCTTCATATGGATATTAGGTGAAATGGTTGCTTTTAGGTAGGTAACCCCAGGCATCAGTTGCGTTGTATCCAGCCCATCTACGTTATCCACAGTTTGATGCGTTAAGAGCCAGTCATATTCTTTAATATTTTCCAAAAGCCTCGGCATTCTAGTATTTCTTTTCTTCTTCAGTTCTTCTTTTTCCAAAGAGAAAGATGAGCAGCATATTTTATGTTATTCAGAAATTCCTTCTGTAACTCTCTAGCAGCCTTTGTTTCCTCTGGTGTTCTTGCCAATCTCCAGTCCTTTCGTCCCTCGAACTTTGTGCAATCCTCAAAAGATGTTTTAACCAACAGTTTATTTGTGGCGACAATATTCTTGTGAGGTAGAGTTTCGACAGACGTTGAACCGCCAGTTACCTTAAACCTTTTATCAAGCTTATCGAACTCACCTTTGCAGGCAATTTTTGTAATAGGTGCCTTCTGAAGTTTCTCCATGTCAGACTGAATGCCACTAGCTGATGAGCACCCTGGAACGGCATTGAAGAAACTAGTTGCGGATAACTGACGTTGCAAGGAATCTATAGTTTTATCGATCACAAGAGTTTTTTCTTGCCGTCTAACTTTGCTGCATCATCTCTCAGTT